CGTTGTTCCTGTTTCGAAAACATCATGACAACACTACATTAGACCGCCAGCTAACACGAGGCTCTGTTCTTCTTGTCACTGCGCATATGCGTGATGTGGGATGGGAGAGTCCATTGGCTCTGAGGTAAGGTAGGTATGTAACTAACGTGTGGTATAAGCGACATTATTTGGTTCCGTTGCATGGCGTCTCTACAACAGTGTTGCCGCTATTAAAGTTCCAACCCTCGTATATATATCTTGATCCCTATTTGAAACAATGACCGGCCCGTCGCGATACGCTTGGTTTCATTTATCGAAGACAAGAGGGGATTCACATAAGCCACGTGCTTACGTTGAAGGTCCTTTCCACAGATTTATAAATTATTAATTCAGAGGTCAAATAACATTTTTAGAGGCCTCTGGGTCTGATTGTTAACAGTATCATTGTTATGCGAAGGCTGCAGTGTTAAGTTATTGGTCGATTAATTGCCATAATAAAAACATTGTTTAAGCAAACTTGCTAAAGTGAAAAGAGTTCAAGAGAAAGTAAAGAGAGAATCCCTCAGTTGGGTAGATCAGTAATTCTGATTGGATGAAAGACTTCACTAAAAATACAGACGGAAATTTTTGGCCAATAAAAAGTGAATGTTACTTTGCCAAGGGAAATTGGTTTTGTGTTACGGAATGTACGAGTATTTCTGAGTCATTCTGCATGTCTTGGTATTGAAGGTGGAATTAGACTTGCGACAGTTTGCGAACTGAATTATAACAAGAATCTCCAAAATCTGTTCTTTTAAGAATTTAATTATGAACCCCATTCTTATTTGCTATTTTTTAATTCTCTGTTTCAGCATCCTGTTGCAATCGTTTAACTTAACGTCCATATTCATCACCGTCCTGGGACAGACATACATTTATGAACAATGGACGTTACCCCTTGTGAGCTGAAATAAAATGCAGCAAAATAACGTGGGTTTAATAGAAATTTTAACGGATTTTATCTTGTTTTACCTTGAAAAGGGAACCACAGCGTGTGATTTGAACACTGACAACACAGTGTAACAGTTTTAACATAATTTAATAAAATATTTGTAACATATCAAGACACCTGAAGATGGCCGTTTGGGGTCGAAACATTTTGTGTCAAAGTGTAAAATATTAAACTAAAATTAGGATTAAGTGGTGACTAAACAAGTGTTGCAATATTGACGGAAGATAAATATGGACGTTGATATTTTTTATTATTTTTCAAGATAATGACTAGTTTATTTTAATATTTTTTAAATATATCAAAATATTTTGCAGAATGTTAAGGGTTGAATGTATTAAATTTATTTACTCTGCCAGACGAACTGATTGCTCATTATGTTCTACAAAATACATGTCATCTGTTACCATTTCCTTGTGTCATGCAAAACAGTCTGAACCTTCATACACGGAGGATATGCCGCCCGTGAAAATAAACTGTCTTACCATGTGTCAGTGTTCGAGTGAATTGGATTCCAGGTTTACGTTCCACTGATTCAATGCCAGTTTCGGGAGCCGATGTTGAGCGACACAGAGCAGGAGACGTTGAACCGAGCAAATGGAGACGAACTGTCTGGTTCTACCTTCTCATTCACACGGCCTTCAGCTTTCCGACGCCTCTCACTGGCAATCGAGAGAAACTTAAACAAGCAGTCTGGAACACAGATATTCAAAAAGCGCAAGCCACAGTTTGCGCCTGATTCTCAACATCCAACCAAGAAACTGCTATTAGCCGGGACTAATCGACTCATCGGAGTCTTTGACTGGTCAGTACTTAATCCTACAGTATGAGCAGAAGTTCTGTCCAGTATAGCACAACTCATAAATTTTGAAGTCCGTAATGTACAAGAACAGTTCATTGGGTTTTTGAATGCTAATGGTTTTACAGTACCCGAGGCAGTGCTAACTTATGTCGAATTGAAGAGAAAATATAAATAAAATAAAGCCAGAAATATTAAATGTTAAGATACGATAAAATAGCTGTTAATTTCAATCCAATTCAGTTCAATTAGATTCAATTCAATTCGTGTTTATATACATGCAAGCTTACAGCACAGAGGCCAATTACAAAGATAGCACGAGTACATAGAAATACACAAAAATAAGTACAGAACAAAATACAAAATATAACAGTCTATATACTGGCAGTAAATTCTTAATAATGCCAAGAAGAAATCAAGTTAGCGTTAACAGGAGAGAAAAATAAAATAACTCTAAGCCTATGGCTGTGAACATTCTCGCCAGTTGCCGAGCTTCATGAGTTTCACAGTACATGAAGAAAACGCTCTTTGAATTCAAACAGAAAATATGGAAATGTAAGCGTAACATAGCAGTTTTGATGCGTTCGCTTTGTCAGTGCATATAAATTTTAAATTCGTAAATTCTAACTTTTAATGCTGTCTTATAAATAAAATAAAAAGGATTATTTCAATCAAAAGACGGATAAATTCCAGCATTTTAAATGCTAATTTCCACTTTTCACACATTAACTATATGAGGGCCGAAATCATAAGAACTCTTAATAAACAAATATTTCTTTTGTTTTCTAATTGACATATTTCTCTGAAACTACTGAAGAATTTGTATCCATTTTGAATCACACTTTATGATGAATGTATTTCAAGAAATGATTGAAATCGTATTTTAATGATTAAATATGTATTTATACGTACATGCAGGCCTATAAATTTAGATGGAAGAAGCTTATTCTCTGAAACTACTGAAGAATTTGTATCCATTTTGAATCACACTTTATGATGAATGTATTTCAAGAAATGATTGAAATCGTATTTTAATGATTAAATATGTATTTATACGTACATGCAGGCCTATAAATTTAGATGGAAGAAGCTTATACTCTGAAACTACTGAAGAATTTGTATCCATTTTGAATCACACTTTATGATGAATGTATTTCAAGAAATGATTGAAATCGTATTTTAATGATTAAATATGTATTTATACGTACATGCAGGCCTATAAATTTAGATGGAAGAAGCTTATTCTCTGAAACTACTGAAGAATTTGTATCCATTTTGAATCACACTTTATGATGAATGTATTTCAAGAAATGATTGAAATCGTATTTTAATGATTAAATATGTATTTATACGTACATGCAGGCCTATAAATTTAGATGGAAGAAGCTTATTCTCTGAAACTACTGAAGAATTTGTATCCATTTTGAATCACACTTTATGATGAATGTATTTCAAGAAATGATTGAAATCGTATTTTAATGATTAAATATGTATTTATACGTACATGCAGGCCTATAAATTTAGATGGAAGAAGCTTATTCTCTGAAACTACTGAAGAATTTGTATCCATTTTGAATCACACTTTATGATGAATGTATTTCAAGAAATGATTGAAATCGTATTTTAATGATTAAATATGTATTTATACGTACATGCAGGCCTATAAATTTAGATGGAAGAAGCTTAGAGTTAATTATTATCAAAAAGAAGAGGTTTCGGTAGTCTTTGCTTATATTTGGAAAATGATTGTTGATTGTTGAATTATATATGGGCCTATGTTCGGAAAATCAGCGCTGAATGTTGATTATATAAGTTAGGAAATGTACTTGTATCGCAATGACTCTTACCTAAATTTCTCGGAAATCACGACTTCCGGTAAAGGGAATCGGACATACGTCATACAACATGTTTTTTTTTTTTTTCACTTTACAGCGTCTGATGGAAATATTTTCTCCTAAATAAATATTCAGCGAGTTAATCTCGAGATACCCACAGAAACGCACGAAGATGTGCATAAAAACTGTTCGAAATTTGTGTTATACTTAAGTAAAAACTGGAGCGTGTAGACAGTGCTAGTAGAACTCCCTTATATCAAATTTAATGAAAATCCGTTGGAATTTAGTGAGAACCACTGAGGATTACTCTTAAAATTAAGTCCGCGTGAATATATGGGCAGTCGAATGGTTTGCTTTACAATATATGAGAGAAATTTTCCTTGAATTTAGCGGATCATATAAAATCCCCCATCCAAGTTCTCGCAAAGTCGCGTTTTATTTGTGTTTATTAAGCCCAACATAAACATAATTTTATGATGTCCTATTGGTTTAAATTAACCTAACGTGCAACCGAATTTTGATTTGTTGGAAAGAATATAAAAGCATATATTGACCTATGAATTAAAAAAATGTGCATATCTGTTAAGTTCCTGGTAAAGGTAAAGGTAAAAAAGGTAAAGCTATCCCTGTAACAGACCGTGAAGGTCCATAGGGTTGTGAAACTTCGATACTCCTACATTTTCTCTAGAAAATAGGCTTGAAGATTGCGGTAAGTGTGTCAGCCTAACGCGCCGGCCGCCCTTTATCTCCCAAGAAGATTCCTGGTTCTCATTTCTGTTAGGGCCTGAGTTGACCCCAGGACCATAGTGCGGCTGGAAGGGTCAGGTCAATTGAAACATCTATTGACTCAACGGGATTTCAACCCCGACCTTCCGGATTGTAGCGTAGTGCCTCAACCCACTGCGCTACCGCGTGCCCCCTTAAGTACCCGCTGCAGATACAAATATCCATATGTATGCCTACATAAGAGGGACGCCAGATTTACTCAATACTGGAGCTGCATATCGTGATACTCAGAAGTTCAGGAGACGCTAACAGGCGCCGGTCGAATGGAACAGGTGTTAAATACATGCTTTCAACTTGGAAATTTTTATAATAAATTCATTTGAGAAAAGGCAGGATTTATTAATATTTCTTTAGCCATCAGCACTAATGATTAAAAAGAGCTGGATGTGGCACGCGATTCGCAGATTGGCCACTTATAGCATCAAATGTAACTAGGTTAAAGGATGTGTGAGCGAAAGTGACACAAAGAATTGTGCAGGGAGCCGTACTATGTCTTTCCCAGGACTATCCGCCACGTGGAGGGGGACATCATGCTGCCTCTTCCCCATATCGCGGCTCTGCATCAAGAAGGGACCAACGCTCAGACCCTGGCCAAGGACTCGTGCCTCGTACAACAGCTGGAGGAGGTCGTGATGTCCTGGGAGAGACACGTGACTAAAACTATTGAGAGCTACCTAGCCCAGGTATAGCGATTCGAAATTTCAATAACTTCCTAAGTTCTATATATTTCTACAAGTTTTGGCAACGATTTTTAGCAGCGATTGTGCAATTGTTGGCCGTTTATATCCTAATAGGATTAGTAATAAGTGTCCAATAATTATGTTTGCGGTTAATCGTACTGTTACATATATGTTATCCAAAGACATCTTGAATACAGATAATAATTTTATATCTTCCATTTTACACCCATTACCATCTGAATTCCACATTTACATTAACAAATATCAGCCGTTTTCTTCCAAATTCTAACCTCTGTAAACACCTTTCCCGCATATTTAATCCTGCTTCGAAGTCAATGGCGTCATAACTAACCCAAGAATGAACAAATTTATTATAAACATTCCTTACAAGTTTCCATTCAGATAATAAACAAATTATTCATTGTACATGTGTTGTGGGCTGGTCACGGTAGCCGAGCGGTCTAAGGACCAGGATCGTGGGTTCGAATCCCAATCAGGGCATGGATGTTTAGTTTGTATGTGTGCGTTTTTCTGTGTTTGTGTACAGGTAGAGGCCTTGCGACGAGCTGATCACCCGCCCAAGGAGTCCTACCATATGTGTAAGATGTAGAAAAAAAAGAAGTGAACGTAGAAGTTCATGGAGGTAGGCCTAGATCCACTGGGGCTGTAGTGCCATGAAAAAACAAAACATGTGTTGTGGGGTCTCTGGGTTTGCGCTGTAGTCATTAGCGTTCCTCATTATCGAAAGATTCAGAATTTGAATCTCACCTCAAACACTGATTATCTTCTCTGAGTTATGTTGAAATTTTTCCCCATTCTTTCAAAGCCCATATCTGAATAGTCAATAAGACGTAACAATGCTCCATTTTCTTACATATGTTTATTTCTTCAGTTGTGCAAAAGCATTGGACATATTGGACGCTACTTAACCAACCTGTTCGTAGCCTTGAAACCTGATCCGAGAGTCACAGGTTTAAACTGATAACAATATTAAAATAGTTGTAAAACAATGGCCTAAGGATAATTACACTCACTCCTGTTGATGAGAGAGAGAGCAAAGTCCATCCTACGTAATTGTAAGTGTTAGAATCTGGAAGGAAATTGTGTAGAGAAGTATTTCGCAAATCACACAATGAGAATGTATTACCCATATCGAAAGAATTATGTCATTTCGAGATGTATTCTTATTTCAAGCTATGCATGTGGAAGATTGGTGGAAAATGTCTTGGAAATGGATGTTTGTGTGTTGTTAGAGACCCGTAGAGCCTGGTCCACTGGCAGAGTACGATTACTGGCAAGAAAGGGACACTGGTTTGGCCGTTCTAGTGGAACAGCTGAAATCACCGAGCGTGATGCAGATTTTTAAAATTCTGTATGAAGCAAGATCTCAGATTGGCGAGAAATTCTCATCGCATCAAGAAGATCTACTGAAGTTACAAGTGCAAGCCCATGATAATGTTAAATTTTTGCTTATCATATTAAAATATTTTAAGGTAATTGCGAATTTCAAATAGTTTTTCAGAAGAAATGTTTAGGAAATATTAATCCAGAAATTGAATAGCTTTCTGTGTGAATTAATGGAGCAGAGGCATTTCAGTGTATTTATTATATTCTCTGCTTCTGTAACAATGATATGTATATGTATATATAATAGAGGCCAAGGAATGAAGGACTGATATATCGTAAGCAGAGATTTAGATGCAAGTCTCAGTTGATAAAAATTTATCTCGCATTCATCAGGACACGGAGTTTATTTCAGAGGCTTCGTAAGAAATTTCAGTTCCCTCAAATTAGAGAGTGTCGAAATAAACATTTTTGTATACGAGCAGACACAACACTTTCCACTACGAATTATATAGATTTTGTTTATAGTTTATTGACTTGCCGGTCACGGTAGCCGAGCGGTCTAAGGAATGTACTGTCTTCGCTCGCTCGGAAGCCGTGATCGTGGTTTCGAATCACACACAAGGCATGGATGTTTGGTATGTGTCTATGTTTATTCTGTGTCTGTGTTGTCCTGTGTTTGGGTAGAGGCCTTACGACGGGCTGATCACTTGTCCAAGCAGTCCTACCGCCTGTAAAATAATCATGAAACTGAAAATCAGAGGCCAGAGCCCAAGGGGGCTGTACAGCCAGTGAAAAAAAGTTTATTTCATTGCACTCCCAGTAACTCACGTTATATAGAGTGGAATGAGTGAATGATGTAGAATAAATAATTAACTGGCGATAATGTGGAGGAAAGTGGTTATGACCCAACTGAAGGTACTATTCCGACATTTTAAAAATATTTTTGAAAAACGGACTGTGAAGATGTGAGCAGGATTAAAATACGCCAGGAAATGCCCAAAGTATGCCTCTTCTGGACACGTGCTCGTACATCGGCATTCCTTGACCTGATGAACAGATGCCATCATGTTTAGGAAAGATTCTATACTAAAATATCGATTAATCGGTCATTCTGTTCTTCAGTAGGATACGTTATTTGGTGATTTTATGTAATATATATCAGCATGTGAAAATGCTTAACATTTTCAGACCATTACACACTCCGACAAATTTCCCCCGATCACTGGGACTTTGTATCCTCTGATGGAGGGGTTGCATATGCTGTGGGTGCTCTCAAGATTCTACTGCAGCGATGAACAAATGATGGCTTTGATGGAAAGAATCGCTTGGATGTTGTGTTCTCAGGCAAAAACACGTCTTGCAGTAAGAGATATCTTTAGGTAAGTGAGTTTCTTCCACATTCAAAGCGTTAAAATATTGAGGATAATTTCCAAATCGAATTAATTGCTTCTTATAATATTTTATGGGCTCGTATTTGTCTGTTTATGTGATTTATGTGAATTAACTTGCAAATATTTTTAATTAGACTGTTTTCGTTTACAGCAAGCCGATGTCAGAAGTACTTCCAACATGCACCGAAGCAATAGAGATGCTGCATACATGGAAAGAAGCATACTATTACATCCGATTGAAAATAGAACAGTCTGGAAAAGAACAGCGATGGGAATTTGATAAGAAGAAACTCTTCGGAGAAGCAGATTATATTGCTTCAGTGGCTAAAGATATATTCGACGTAGCAAAGGTATGGAGCTTACAATCATGTCGACTCATAAGGCAGGGTCCTTAACGTGTTGCATCCATCCTTGGGTCTGTGAAGGCTTCTGACAACGGTGGAACAACTGCACGAACGTTGCATTATTCATTATCTAGTGTCTGGGGTATCATTAAGAAAATCCTGGGCTTTTATAGAAAGCGAAGCTTCATTTACCTTATTGACACGAGCCTATCAGTGGATGTTACACTGACGCAAAGCATTTGTCCAGGCAAGGGACGTGAGTGTGTTAACGGCGAGGGCTTGTTATTCCACACCTGAATCCCAAGCTAGAGGGCCAGCCCTTATGTATCTCGTTTCTAAAAACCATAATTTTGGAGAAATATAGTTTCTCTACAAACATGTAAATTAGTGATAAATAAAGTCACTGGTTGAATGCTGCGTCGTTCGTTGTCGGTCGTTCAGTCGGCCATTTAATCAGTCTGTCTGTTAATTACATGCAGAAAATTGCCTCCCCCATCCAAAAACACGAAGTTCCGAAGGCATGTGCCGAAATGCACAGAATTTTCCCTAATGTTAGCCTAGGGTGTTTAGAGTGATCAAGTCAAGGAGGATGAGATGGGCAGGAAATTTAGCACGAATGGGAGATAGGAGGAATGCATATAGGATATTCGTGTGAAAACCGGAAGGAAGAAGATCACTGGGAAGACCAAGCCGTAGGCGGGTGGACAATATTAAAATTGATTCTTAGAGAGACTGGATGGGATGATATAGATTGGATTGATCTGACTCAGGATAGGGACCAGTGGTGGGCTCTTGTGGACACGATAATGAACATTCGGGTTCCATAAAATGCTGGGAGCTTCTTGAGTACCTGCGTAATTGGCAGATTCTCAAGAAGGGCTCAGCTCCATGAGTAAGTAAGTATATAAGCATTTCTTTTTTATTGCTAGTGGGGTGGGACTAAGTCCCTTGCACTGAGGTCACTTCTGGC